CTTGTGACAATAATCATTATTATTATTATTATTATTATTATTATTATTATTATTATTATTACTACTACTACTACTACTACTACTACTACTAATAATAATAATAATAATAATAATAATAATAATAATAATAATCTTAATACTATTATTCAGAAACATCTTATTAGTACATTATTATTATGAAGGAAACATTTCTGTGATGATTACATAACATTCTCCATATTTAAACATGTTCTGTATTATTTAAGAAAAGAAAAGACGTGTTGGGGAAGATTCAGGAAAAATTCCTCGGAAAAAACCTAGAGGAACATTAAAAACTCTAGAAAACATTTTATCTAATCAGTATTATAAAGAAGTATCTAAGAAACATTTGGAAAGTGAAGATTCACTTGTCATATTACTGATTGGATAATTACCTATCCTGATATTATGTTTAGTAGGTTTGTAGAACCTTTCAGAAGTTTAGAGCCATTTGAAATGTTGTAAATACTCTAACTTTTCTGTATATACACAAAACTTGGAGTAAAGCATTCTTTTATATATTTCACCCTTGTTATATGGAGTCATCCTGTGGTTATTAGAAGAGATTAGGTAACCGATTCAAGTATTCAGTCAAAAGATTTACCAAAAAGAAAGGAAAGAAACATGAAATGTGTTAATGATTTAAAGTATATTTATCGAACAGAATAAGAAGAGACTGTAATATGTGTCATACAATTTATTTATTTGAATACATCAATATTAATATAAAGGGGAACCGAATACATATGCATGACACAAGTCACTTGATTTGTGTATTGGGTTGTGATACTGCCCGCGTGCTCAGACTGAAACAAGTGGTTTTCTTAGGAGGCCACACCCAGAGACTTTGGCCCATAGGTCTGATCCACAAGGCAGTGGAGAAACTTTAGGAGATGCAGTCCCATGATGGCCGGTGACCAACGATTTGTTCCTACGCCATTTTCCCCCTCAGGATCTTGGAGCTCATGTACACCATTGGTTTGGAATAAGGGTTTTCTAACTCTCCTAGGTGGACTTTCCATATCCACCAACCCAGTTAAAGGGCCGGACATTCACTTTTCGTCCTCTCAGTTTCGTAAACAACACCCATGTGGCGAGAATACACTGAATAGGAGTTCTCTAGAAGTGAATGTATATGCTTGGTCATATGAGAGCCTCGGCCGTACCAGTGCATTGGTGGATATGTAATACACAAAGAATTAAGAATATACTATTAATGTAATAAGATTTGATATAAGAATAAGAGTCTATGCTGTGATAGTTTTGAATGATACAATGAAAGTTTCTAAGAATTGTAAAGAATTATCATCAAGTACCGCATTGTAAGGGTCATATACACGTGATGTATATTTGAATTAGACATTCTTAACAAGAAACTCTGAATTTATGTAGAAGGTAAAAAGAGAGTGTATAGAGTTTAATTCCTCTCTATCTGATCCTAATATATAATGCCCAGTTCTCCTAGTAGTACTATGAATTTACTTGAGAATATTTGGAAGCTAGAATAGTGTTTTTTAGTAATTATAATAAACTAGAGATACAAGAGAGGCAATCACATTGGGCAGTGAGTGATTGAGTGAGTATATGTGCAAAACGTCGAAATATCTATTGGTAATTTCAATAGTTGGGATCATGAGTGAATTGAAGCTAGACCACAATGAAAAACCTGGAAGCACAGGATGATCGTTCCGCCTTATTGTAAGGGACTCCACGATCTCGACCCGTGAGATCCGAATCCATGTTGATCTAGCTTCAATTGATTCATGATCTCAACTATTGAAATTACTATTAGATCCACAAAAAACCCTTCTGATATCTATATGTATTTCATGAGTGTTAATCAATTGTGGGTTAGTTATTGATTGTCTATGTTTACAACCAATGGGAAGATTGACGTGAAGGTATACTATGGGCTTACTAAAAGAGAAAAAGAATTATCTCAAATGTCAGGGTATCAATCATGACAACATTAGTCAGTAATAAATATGGACATTTGTGAACTTTTAATATTTAACTTAATGATTGAATTCATGAGTCAATTGAAACTAGACCACCATGGAAAACCTGGAAGTACTGGAAAGCCGTTTCATCATAGTTTGGGACTCCGCGACAGTGCGCATCCGCCAGATTCGAACCCATGATCTATCAGTGAAGAAATTTCAAAGATTCTATTTGGCTGACAGCCCATTAAATAGGTCTTCATGAAATTGATTCCCTTTATGACTTAAATAGATACCAGACATTGTCTGTGTAGATCCTTGACAACTATACTGATATTCAAAAGATGACATAAATCACTCATGGACAGAAATTAATCAATGGGACTTTTAAACTGGGTTTTACTTTTACTGTGACGGAGGTTTGATAGGGGTCTGTGAATAATAAGATAGTGAAAAATCTATGCGGAGAGAGATAGAAAAGCGATAAACAACCACGAAATATGGGACGATTTGTTAAATTTTTTCATTCATATCCAACCAACGCAGGTTCAAGGTTATCTCGAATTTCTTCTGAACACATAAACTAGAGTTATAGTTACTGATTCTGTGAATATTTGCTCTGTTTAAGATGCAACATTAATTCCGATTAGGAAGTGACGAAAGTACACGACAGACCAGTCAAAACGATTTGATTCTATCTATTTTATGATGACTATCGACAAGCTATGGCTAGATGGAGCTATGTCTTCCAAATTCTGTCATTCCGAAATAACAATAATGGTTTTGTTGTGATGTAACTCTTCATGAAATGACGAAGGTACAACAAATAGCGTTACGTTTGTGAAGAGTTTTCTACAATAATAAATAATATCAGACGGTTTTTTTGTGGATATTATAGTAATTTGAATTGTTAAGATCATGAGTCAGTTGCTGCTAGACCACCATGGAATACCTGGGAGCACTGGACCGCCTTTTCATCCTATTGTGGGACTCCTCAGCAGTGCGCATCCACGACCTCGCCCTGTGGGAGATTTGAACCCAGGACCTACTTGGCCACCAGACCACTGAGCTGGCATTTGACGGTAATAATGTTTAACTTCAACTAATCCGAAAAAATTGAGCAAAACATCCAACACTGTCCGTCAGACTCATGATCTTAACCATTGAAATAATAATTAAAGTGCAAATCGTACATGGAGGACAGTTGACAGACTCGTTAGAAGTAACGGCCGGTGTCAGGCAAGGTTGCCTTTTCTCATCCTTTCCCTTCCCCCTGGTGATCGAATAGATTATGAAAATGTCAACACCTAAGGGCTTCATCATAAATAAAGGGTAAAGCAAGATTCTGCGGCACAACACAACATGCATCAATCAATTCACACTTGACGGAGAGGCTTTGAAGGATGTTAACAACCTTTACATATCTGGACAACATCATTGGTGGATAAGGTGGATCTGATGTAGATGTGCAGGCAAGGATTAACAAATCAAGAGCAGTATATCTACAATCGAAAGCATCTAGAACTCAGAACAACTATCAACCAACACTAAAGTCAGAATTTTCAATACAAATGTCAAGACAGCTCTACTACGACAGCCATCATCCAGAAGATACAAGTGTTTATTAACAATTCTCTACGCAAAATACTTCGGATCTGTCGACCAAACACTATCAACAACAACCTACTGTGGGAGAGAACCAACCAATTATCAGTCGAAGAAGAAATCTGGAAGCGAATAGGACATACAATGAGGAAATCACCCAACTGCGTTACAAGACAAGCCCTCACATGGAATCCTCAAGGTCGAACGAGGCTAGGAATACCGAAAAAAAATTATACCGAGAAATGAAGATAGATATGAGAAGAATGAGCAAAAAGGAAGCAGGACAGAGTGGATTGGAGAAGGCTGGTCAGCGGTCTTCTAGGAGTAACAGTTGTAAGCAATTAAAATTTCCAAAAATAACTATTTCAGTTTATTAGTCAATGAGAATATAAATTTGAACGCATTTATTTTTCAAATCGTTTTATTTCTACCTTCTGATAATAACTAAAGACTAGTTAGTGTTTATATCTTGATAGCTATTCACTGTAACAGAAGTTCAGGAGTACTTCAGATGTTAATAATTTAAATCCCACTGATATGTGGTTATGCACTGCTGAGGAGTCCTACAATAGGGACGAAACGGCCGTCCAATGCTTCCAGATTTTTCATAGTGATCTGGCTTCAATTGACCCATAATGTCAACTGTTGAAATAACTATATTATCCACAACAAACCCCTTCTGATATTATTCAGCATATGCTCATCAGTGACTGGCTTCAAGAGGTATTTCCTGGAGTTCTAGTGAAAAGTACTGATCAGTCAAGTTCAGACGGGTCTGTTGTGAGATAGTAACACACTAAAAGCAATGGTAGATGTGTCGCTCAATTTCGTGAATTGGTTGAAGTCAGACAATAATAACATTGAATTCCGGTCGGATCATTGGTCTGGTGGTTAAGCATTCGAGCGCGAGACCAATAGGTCGTGATTTGGAAGCTTGCGATGCGTACTGTTGAGGAGTCCCATACTAAGATGAGTTGGCCATCCAGTGCTTCCAGCTTTTCAATTGAGTAAAATCTAAACAACGGCCCCATTCCTCGTCCCCTTTTGATGATATATCTACATAAGATTATTCGATAAAATCTTAATCATTCAAATCACATGAGTCCAAAAGTTGGCATAATAAAACTTATACGAAAAAGAAAATTTCCATTATTTTTCCAAAAATAAGTTTCATTATTTTCATCGTTGTTGTTATTATTATTAATAATAAAAGTACTAAACTTTCAAGATAATTTGACCGAGAATCACAAGATTCTCAAGTGTTAAAATGATAAACCAATGATGTAATTAACTAATTAATTACATCATTCATAGTTTTGAGTATATAAATGAAGTAAGTAATGATGGCAAAACTACGGCTACTTCGACTACGACTACTGCCACCTCTACTACGACTACTACTGCTAATATCATAGACTAATACTCTGTTCAATGAAAATGATATCCTATTTATCATTTCTATGTTTGATTACCTTATTAGGTTTTACATATTCCGAATATGTTTGTCAAATTATGCCAAATATTACAATGGTAAGTATTCAAAAAAAATTGTGATGAGACTGTCATTTATGGACGACGTTTTAGTGACACCGAAGTAACCTTGAGAGTGAACAACTACTAATTGGAACTAAATGAGGGTTATAAATCGGTTAGAATTCTCATTTACAGTTGATGGTTAGGATTAAAAATTAGATGGGGTTTTCATCACAAACTAACATCAGCTATATTAGTATAGAACTTGTAGAGATTTTTAAGTTTTTGATTGAGATCATGAACCGATTGATGTTAGACCACCTTTGAAAACCTGAAAGCGTTGGACGGCTGTTTCGTCCTATTGTGGGACTCCTCAGCAGTGCGCATCCACGATCCCGCTCGCGGGATTCGAACCCAGGGCCTTCGGTCTCGCGCGCGAACGCTAAACCTACTGTATGAATGAATTTCACGCTTGAATTAGTTACGCATTATTTTATATTTGATTGGTTCATCCATAAATTATAGTCTCGACAAAATTATTTCAGAAAAGTTTTTTTTCTATTTTTTGTGTGTGTAGAATTTCGGTATCTTGGGTGAACCAATTGATAAACGTCAATATGGGGGCAATCAATTGAGATTTATTGTTATATATAGGCCAAGTATGGAAAGGCATCCTATGTTTCAACAATTCAAGGTATCATTAATTGGTTTTAATTTCTTATTGTTTTTTTAAATTATATTATGTATTATATGCTCATTGTCATACTTGCTTTAAGTTAGTTTACATTGAGTCATGGTTAATTACTTAAATACTAACCCTTGTTACTTCCAGTAGAGCATAGGCCGACGAACACGACTTGCCAATCCCCTCTGTCTTAAACCCTCCTTTCTACTTCTATCCAGTTGTTGTTCATTCTTCTTATATATCTCTCCATTTCTCGGTGTAATGTGTTCCTTGGTCTTCCTCTTCTCCTTTGGCTATGAGGATTCCAAGTGAGGGCTTGACTTGTGACGTAGTTGGGTGATTCTCTCAATGTATGTCCTATTCACTTCCAATGATCCTTCTTGATTTATTCTTCCGTTGGAATGTGGTTTGTTCTCTCCCACAGTAGGTTGTTGTTGATAGTGTTTGGTCAACGGATCCGAAGTACTTTGCATAGACAAATGTTAACAAACACTTGTATCTTCTGGATGATGGCTTTCGTAGTTCTCCAAATTTCCGACCCATACAGTAGAACTGTCTTGACATTTGTATTGAAAATTCTGACCTTGGTGTTGATTGACAGTTGTTTTGCTATGTAACTTAACCATTTAGTGTATCGAAAAATTCAACGAAAATGTAAATTTCTGTTAGCTATCTGTTCTAGTCATCAATAAAATGTAATTTAATAGTCGAATTCATGATCCAATTGAAACTAGATCCTTATGGAAAACTTGGAACCACTGGAATGCCGTTTCACCCTAGTATGGGACTTTTCAGCAGTGCGTATCCACCATCTCGCCCCACAATATTCGAACCCAGGACCTAACTCATATATTTAGAACTTAATTTTGAGACCCTAATCGAATGTTGTATCTGTTGAATCGGTATTGAGAAGCATCTTATAAAACTTAGTTAACATATTTGGTAAGGTTTAGTTAATTAATGTACGGGATCATTGGATGACATTTCTTCACTATATACAAAGAATAATAAATGAATATACTTTGCGTTGTATCTACAATGTTAATTGACCATCAATCAGGATCACTTGCCGGTTTTTGGATAACTTAGAAGTTATCCTTTCCTCAGTAATTTTCACCACGTTATACTGATAGATTACGTTAAAGAAGCATGTTTGTAGTGAAAATACATTAACTCTTTCATTATCTTCAATAATTTTCTGCATTCGTTTAGACTCAGGTTGTAGAAAAAGCCCTTAGTTTTTGGCAAAATACATTAAGCGTTAGAAAACCACCAAATAGGAAATTGCTCATTGAAAGGTAAGTAGATTGTTATTGGAATTTTATTGTGATTAATTTTCCAACAATAAACTTTTTAAACCAATATCTTTTCATTATTTAGAAGCCAATGTTCCATATAATTAAGGCTATTAGGACTTAGTAGCTAAGTGAATAACGCGATAGCGTTTGAGGCGAGCGGTACTATAGGTTCGTGTCCCGGAGTGGATATCAACTATGGGATTCAGGTACATCTAGCTGACCAGTCCTAAATAAGACGAAACACGAGTCCTAGATTTTACTGCTAGCCGATATCCATCATTACTTATAAAGTATGCGACTTAAGGCAATATCGAGGCAATTCGCACAGGATGCACATATGCCAACATAAGACTGATCAATTGCAGTCCTAAATAACAATGGAAAGATACAAATAAACAACACCAAATGGAGTTAAGATTATTTGTTCAATAAAACATCTATTTATATACATGCAGTATACTTTAATCGATATTTTGGAATGGTAGTAGAGGTAATATTGATAGTTCTGCATTGACGTTAACAATATTAACAAACCTACTTGTAATTTAATAGTTGAATTCATTAGTCAATTAAAGCTAGCATAGCAAAGCATCAGTACAACTCCTTGTGTATGTAGAGCATTTTCTTTTTGATGGCCGGAGTATAACAGCAGCTCCTCTGAAGCTAGACGCTGTTGTCCAACCTCCGTCCAATGTGTTTCCCTAATTCCAAGCACCTTCAGGTCGTAACTCCTCATTTCTGCAGCACCTTGGATGACTTTCCTGGTCTCTCACATTCTACGAACATTCCATGTGCCTAAGTGAATGGTTGATCTGGTTGTCAGAAGGGCCACCAGCCTCGTGATTTCGGAAGGAACTCGGCTTGCATCACGAGGCATCATAACTCTCCTAACTCCCAGGGTAGATGTTAAACGGTCTAAATAATTTTATTTGGTTAGTGTTTTTTAGCGATTTATTTTTATACGGGGTGGTGTTGCTAACCCTATACCCAATCCTCCTACATTATCCGGGCTTGGGAACTGCAGTAACCTCAGAGGATCTCCAGACGTAGTTCGATTAAAGCTAAAACAATTTCGAGCTAAAGTTTCATAATCCGATCTTCCAAATTCACAGCTACATTTGGCTAAATCTTCTACAAACGTTGTTTCATATTTTATGGTACAATGTGGTGTGTTTGATCTGTATATAATCCCAGTATGTTTGAAATACATTATTCATATCACAAAGCCTGAGATTGGTGTTCTGGACGTAAAAGACAGGGCTAGGCGGAAAGCAGGACCGATAAGGACTTTAAACTACTCGTAAAGGTTTTATGCGTGACTGGTCTGCTCGATAATTCACTGTTCTCTAATTGGTGGTGTCATTACGTTATACACTGATAGGGGCACAAACGCACAAGTTATAACACTTTCTTTCTTGACAATTATAATAAATATAGACTTTTTTACTATGCTTACTGATTATTTTACAAAATATGTAATAATAATTATTTTTACAGAGGATGCGCTGAACCAGTCTTTTACACAGATGGTAGAACAGGTAAAAAGTTCTGTAAATCACAATGTAAAAAACAAGCTCTATGCTATGATCATCCAGTTCCAGATCAATACTCTTCCGTAAGTTTAGTTCGTACTAATTATAACCATATATGCAAATTTCACATTTAAATCGGTACATGAATCTCATATCAGCCTATACTCTACTGTGATTAACAGATTTGTTTATATATACACATGAACATTGGTACAAGGAAGCATCAAATAGATATGCGCAACGTAAGCAACGTAAGGAGTTGCAGTCACATAGTAGTCGATGACCAATAATTGGATTATACGCCATTCGTTTCCTTAGGATCCTGGATCCCATGTGCACCATTGGTTTGAAATCAGGGTTTTCCAACTCTACTAGGTGGATCCTCCATATCAGCGCAGTTAAAGAGCCGTACATTCAATTTTCGTCCTCTCAATTTCGTAAACAACACCTGTGTTGCAAGAAAGCAATGAGTAGGGCTTCCCTGGTTGTGGTTGTATGCACGTGGCCATGTGAGAGCATTTGGAGAGAGAGAGAGCTGACTCTTCTCACTCCCGGCCTTACTAAGGCATTTAGGGGCGGGGACTAACAGCCATAAATAACTAAGTCCGTAATCTCATATCATGAACAGTGATATCAAAATAGGATGAAATAAGAAATTTTCTTATTTTCTATTGTTACTTATTTTCAAAGTATCCACTCTGGTAAGCATCTGTGTAATTTTTATAAGAGATATCTTATAAACATTTCAAATAAATTTTCTTTCTGTTTTAAATAACAGGGATGTGCTGTGGGAAATGGAGGTGACGATATAAGAGATGTTTATCAAGATGGTCCAGGATTCGCACCAAATGAATATGTTATTTTTGTTGAAAGTGAAAATAAACAAGGTTGTCTATCTGGATCAACATTAGCTTATGCTGGTCCTTGTGAAATGCATCCGACAACTGATAGGTAAGAAAATGTATGGTTTAATAATATGAAGTGTTATTCAGTGGTGTTTTTAGTAATTAAATCGTCTTCTGAATATAATAAAAATATGTTCATCTATGAATGAGTATGTTTGCTGAATAAATTTTTGTGAACCTAAATCATTTTACTCAATAGAGGAATACTACTCATGCTATGTTTTCTAGTAGTATTTCAGTATATCACACACCATGTCGGTTATGAAACAGTTATATATTGAAGATAATGGAAGATGGCAGCAAAATATCATGGATTGGTCGAAATTAGACATTAACACCGTTTGATATCAGCTCAGTGGTCTAGAGACTAAGCATTCTCGCATATGACCGAATGTCCTGAGTTCGAATTTCGTGGGGCGGGATTGTAGATGCGCAATGCTGAAAAGTCCTGTGATTGGACGAAACGGCCTTCCAATACTTTCAAGTTTTCAGTGGTGGTCTAATATTGATCCCGATCAACATTTTGCAGTAGTTAACCAGTCATAAGGATGACAAATGAATAAATTCAATCTCATAATTATTAAAAATGAAATTCGATAACCAGGTTGATGTCACTGATAAAGAACTTGAAAAACATAACAGTAATAGTTTGTTGTAATCCTTTAGGAATTATAAGTAGTAATTTATTTCACATAGTAAATATTCACATATACTTCCAGATTTATCAAAGATGAACCATTTGCAAAAGTATATTGTGTTCCTCAATACATCTGGTCTTCAAAAACTAAGCAGTCTTGGTAGAGATTTAGGTGCGACTATAATTTATGGACGACCTTTGAGCGACACCAAAGTAACTTTGAGAGTGTCCACCTAATAACTAGGATCAAATGAAGGTTATAAACAAGTGTGAGGAATTACAATTATGATTTACAGTTAATCGGTTTGTGGTTACAAATCAGATTTAGGATTTTCATCACAAACTGACTTCAGCTATAATGCCAAAACTCTATTTAACCAAATGGATGAGTGAATTTCGCGCCAAAATCTATGACCTTTTATCTTATGCCTGATTGGTCCGTCCATAAATTATAGTCTCGTCGTAATAAGTTCCAAATATCAGTAATTTAAACATGAATGACAATTAAGGCATAAATAATTTAAGAAAGGGGTTTTTGTGGATATTATAGTAATTTTAAAGACTGATCGAAGCTAGATCACCATGGAAAACTTGGAAGCATTAGACGGTCGTTTCTTCATATTGTGGGACTCTTCAGTAGTGTGTATCCGTAAATAATTGTAATGTAATTTTTGATTTTAATGAAAAACATGATTCGTTCAATAAGAGTATTCATTGTTACAACCGTTGCTTAGTACACTGAAATAATAATATCACATTTTCTTTAAATCAAATATATCTATTATTATCAGTTTAAGGGTTGTAGAGATTGTTACGTTTTTGATTGAGATCATGAACCGTTTGATGTTAGACCACCATTGGGAACCTGGAAGCACCGGACGGCCGTTCCGTCCTATTATGGGACTCCTCAGCAGTGCGCATCCACGATCCCGCTCGTGGGACTCGAACCCAGGGCCTTCAGCCTCGCGCACAAACACTTAACCTACTGGACCACTGAGCCGGTATCCAATGGTGTTTATGTCTATTATTAGTTATTATTTTTGACTACTAAGGTAAAGGTTCCAAGATTAGCTGACTACTTTTAACAATCATATGTGCTTATATATACAAAATAGTATCGTATACTTGTTCAAATGTGAGACTCTGTCAGTCAGCAACAACATGGAACTTCGTACGTACGTGCGTACATCAGTTCAAGTTGGTATACCACATTATCACAGTGATACAATTGTCGATTTAAATCCCTTAGTGGTAGACGTAGTAAAAGTATAAGAAGTAATCGGAAAGATTAGGGTTAGATGATGTTATTCAAGGAGTATAATTCAGTGAAATAGATTTGGAAAGAGAAGAAAAATGGGGACATGAAGAATCAGAAGATTAGAATTTGAGAGAATACAAAGAGTGGATGGACGTGAGTCATTGCAAACGATTTTGAGCCATGTCATTAAATGTCCCTAACTGTCGGTTTCTATCGTCTCTCGGCTTTCCAGAACCAGGTACTCTACACCTACTAATATGGTTCAGTCCACTTGTCATTGACTTCTTGGATTTGTGCCATAATTTGATCTGACCGGCCCTAGCTGTTTTCTTCATTATCTCTGTCTTATCATCAACTAGTTCATATAACATATTACATATAAATGTATTTGTATATTTTTCGTGTTTAAATTCCAGACCGATTATGGGTTCAATCAATTTCTGTCCTCAAAAAATGGAAATTCAAGAACCAGGAAAAACAATGTTAGTTGGAACAGCTATACATGAACTAGGTCATGCTTTGGTAAGTCATTATACTATTGATAAATATAGATTAGACATGAAGACATTTGTCGAGTTGAAGTTTTAATTTAATAAAGTTAAGACTCGATAGTTTAAAATAAATTAAGCATTGAGTAGATTGTAACTGATCTAAATTGATGTTGGTTTCGTAATTTCTCGATCATTAAAAGAAATGATTATCAGTATGAGGTTAAGCGTCTGCACGCGAGACCGAAGACCCTGGGTTCGAATCTCGCGAGCGGAATCGTGGATGTGCACTGCTGAGGAGTCCCACAATAAGACGAGTTGGCTGTCCAGTGCTTCCAAGTTCTTCGTGGTGGTCTAGCTTCAAATGACTAGTGATTTAAACTATGAAAATTACCATAATATCCACAAAACCCTCCTATTATAGTTATCTTTACTCCTTAAAATGATAGTCTATATTAAAATAGAATAGTGATGAATAATTAAAGGAAAATTTGTAATGGTATCTTTTTATGAATGGTTGATAAAATATCAGAATATTCAAAGGAAATTATATAATAACTGGCTAATTTGGAGATAATCGTTTATATGGTAGTCATCAAGAAGAAAATAATAAAAAGTTGTTGTTATAGTTAGTTAATTAATGGTTGTGAAAGTAGTTGGAAAGAGATAAAAAAATACCCTATGGATTATGAGAAAAGGAAGGAATGTTAAGACCGTGGAAGACTATGGAAGAATGCAAGATTGAACATACTGTTCCTTTCTAAGGCAATGATTACACTTGAACTAGTGATTAGTAATAACCTCTACTACACATAAGTTTTTCATCTTAATGCTTTTTTAGCCGACTATGATATGGATGATTTTTAAACAGGCTTTTACAGAACTTGTTTTAGCTATGCATAATCCATCGTTCAGCCGGGCTTTCCAATGGAAATTCAATTCAGTAATTATTAATTGAATAGTTGAATTAATGAGTCAATTAAAGCTAGATCACTATGGAAAACCTGAATGCACCAGACGACCGTTTTGTTCTAGTATGGAACTCCTCAGCAATGCGCATCCATGATTTCACCCCTTGGGACTCGAGCCTAGGATCTATCGGTCTCGCTCACGAACGCTTAACCTCTAAACGACTGAGCCGACCGGCATCCAACGGTGTTAACGTCGAACTTCAACTAATCCAGGAAATTGAGTCATCATCCACTATATTATTGTAGATTATGTGGAGAAAGTGAATACATTGCAATAAGACAAAGTAGTATAAATCATCGCATAAAAACAAACCTACAAATAGTATAATGTAATTTATATGAGAACATCTTCTAAGTTAGAATAACGACAAATCATTATCAGAAATGTCTAACATAATCACATTTGTAAATCTGACTTAAATTTGATTCATTTATACATTGCTTCATTGGAACATAAGAAATACCATAGTCTAAATAGCTGTATTTCAATAATAATGATACTTTGTTCTTCACCTGACTGTATTCTTATTAAAATGGATAATCTTAACACATTACAGGGATTTGTAAAATCAAATTTTGCATTGATGCGTGATCTGGATGGTAAACCAAGAACACCAAGAGATCCTAGATCAGGGAGGCCACCTTTAAATAATCAAAGACAATATGATGCAAGGTGAGATAATATATATGTTTTTTATTGACTTAAAAGGTTTGAATGATTTTTTCTGGTTAGCGTTTTCTACGGAACGGGGTCGCTAATCCCATGCCCAACCTTCCTCCTTTATCCGGGCTTGGGACCGGCAGCAGCCCCCGGAGGGACTCCAGGCGGAGTTAATTTCATATTCGTAGTATGATATAAATGATTTGGAAATTTGTGTCTTATCCACTTTCAGCGATTCTTTTTGATTTCTTCCTCCACTGGATTCTGGTATGTTTTCTCCTACAGTAGGTTGTTGCTGATAGTATCTCTCCAATCAATCCAAAGTATTTTACGTGAACTTTATGTTATACTTCAGGAATTCATTTAGTACTTTCAGTGCAATGGGTTATTCATAACAATTTATTCATTTGAAAATCCCAATCATATTAAAAGACTATTATTTGAATGAAGAATTGATTATATATTGAGATTAGGTTACTTTTTTAAAGAATGAAGTAAATATTCTTCTTTCGTCACTTGTATCTGCATGTAATTCATTTCCCAACACATCAACAATAAGAACGTCAGATGCTTTCTAGAAGTATGTTATTGAAGTCAGTCTGTAGTAAACATAAAAATTGATCTAATTCTAATTAGTTTTTTTTATTAAGTAGGTCAATCAGCCATATCAGTCAGTCAGTCAGCTACAACGTAGGACTAGGCACATATATGCATCGGTTCAAGTTGCCATACCTCATTAGCATAACAAGATGAACACCGAATTCATGGAAGTGGTTAATTCAGTGGTGGTAATATATAAAAAGAAGGACATAGTACAGGAAGAAAGAATTGGTTGGTAGAAAGAAAGATACGAACCAATTTCAGTCTCAGAGTTTAAGGCAAGAGAGGGAGTGTATACATCTCTACCATTGTGATTGATTCCGAGCTATGTCACACTGACTCTGCAACCATTGGTTACGATAGTAACGCAGACCAAAACTGAGTAGTTTGCACCCACCAACATGGCTCAGACTAGAAGTTAGTGACTTCAAGGACTGGTGCCACATTTTGGTTTGACTACCCCTTACTTTCTCCCAAGCAATCTTGACACTAGTCAGCATTGCGCGTCGTGGTAATCGGTCAGACATAAATCGAATAAGGCAGTCAGAATAAAACCGAGTATAAATGAATTCAGTAAAACCTAAGATACTGAATGAGAAATATAGTTATCAAAACGGATAATAATAATAACTGATAGATCTGCTTCAATTATCATACTATAATCTCTTATTTTCACATATTTTTGTTTTAAAATCAAGTTCTTACTATCTATATTTTATATTATTTTTTCAGTGAAAATACAATCAGAACAATCAACCGCCCATGGGCTACAGCTGCCGGGAAATTTTCAAAATCTTTCTTATCTTTTGTTACACCAGCTATGCTCGTGAGTTCTATCTACATGCACTCATTCGAATCTTATATCACTTTCATGCTTTACCTCAGTTTCTCAGCTATTTGTTATTAGAAACTTGACTTGTTTGCATTGTTCGGTAAAATCCCGATGTATTCTAACTACTGTTAAACTGAGGACTAATTACTAAGTTTGAGAAGGTCTGATTGAAATATGAACCTTGATGATACCAATCTAGAATTATCCCACATCTAAGTTTAAGATCCTTTCAAATTACTTGATGATAGGTACATTTTATCAACAAGGATTATTGAGGACATTCTATATTTCCATTCTATCACAAATTTGAAGCAATAACCTTCTATACTAGGCAACTATTTTAGTCACACCATACAGTTAAAATCATGAATATGTCATGAATAAGTCATCTGAATGTAAGATACATCAGTTATTGAGATATTATATGATATAAGGAAAAAGTGTATTCAACTCAGGATTCATATATTTTTAATACAGGAGGAAGCACGCAAACACTTTAACTGTCCTAATTTGGATGGAGTTGACATAGAGAACGAAGGTGGACAAGGAACAGTTGGTACACACTTCGAAAAGAGAGTAGTTGGTGTAAGTTAATTTAAATTTCATTTTTTACATGAAGTAAATTTCTCGTTAAAATAGATTCGTCAGTCACAATTCGTTTATGATGTTATCTACATGAACAGTTTTAATTTTATTGATAAGACTTATTCGACTGACCAATATGTGTTATGTATAGAATCGATTAATCTAATGTAGCATAACTTGACAATTTGGACTGCTCAGATGACTTAGCTCTTTTATACCATACACACCAACAAATGCAGGTCAAGACAATCAATATAGTAGCCTTCTCTACAGCAGTAGGCCTCAACATATTACACCAATCCAATCATATTTGATTGAAAAACTCTAGAACAGGTGAAAACTTATACCCACCTGAACAGCATCATCGATGAACAAGGAGGATCTGATGCAAATGTGAAGGCCAGAATTGACAAAGTAAGATCAGAATTCTTACAACTGAAAAAAGTAAGGCACTCCAACTGACTGTCAGTTAGCATCAGAGTCAGAATCTTCAATACGAACGTGTAGATAGTTCTACTGTTTGGAGCTGAAACTTCCAGAACTACTACAACCATCTTGAAAGAGGTATCGATATTTGTAAATAATTGTCTAGACAACATGCTGAGTGTTCGTTTACCAGATACCATCAGCAACAACTTACTATGGGAAAAAACAAACCAGCTTTCATCTGAAGAAGAAATAAAGAAAATTCGCTGAGGGCGGTTAGCGTATACATTTCGGAACTCAGCAAGCTATATCACGAGGCAAGCGGTGACTAAGAATCCTAAAGGGAGACGAAAACTTGGGAGGCCAAAAAACACACTGCATCTGGAATGGTAAACAGACATCAGAAGAACAAATAGCGGTTGGAAACAGATGAAAATCATTGGCGAGAACAGAGTTTGATGTAGGATCGTGGTGGGCAAACTATTCTTCTTTACGAGGGCTAGCAGGCGTAAGTAAGTTAGTAAGTAATCAACTTATTACATTACCTTCTTCAAAATATGATAAAGTTGATTCATTTACAGTAATCAATAAGTAATGATATGGCGTCCTTTATTTCTCTGAGACTATCTAGTGTTAACTGTTCAGGAATATTATTCATAAATTCAATGTTATGATCTCATAAAATCATTAGGATTAAAGTAAAGGGTATCAAACAATCATACAATGAGTTAATTTACTACTTATAATATATAAATAGTATGTATATGTTGTATATATTGTAGGATGAAACAATGGCAGGTGTTACTGGAGTGAAAACTGTAATGTCAAGGCTTACATTGGCATTCTTCACAGACTCTGGGTAAATTTATGCAATTCAGAAAACAATGTATTATCTCATATTTCATCTACTTTTTTTGATGATCATGCTTAATTTATCTGGATTTTGAGCTTGATTATACTTTTCATAAACTAATATAAGGGTTCTGAACAAAGATGGATAGTGGCTAGCAGTTGAAACCAGGAATCACGTTTCGTCCTATTCGGGACTCGTCAGCTGAATGTAAATGCATCTCCTAGTTGATGTTTACTCTATGACTCGAGCCCAGTACCGTTCGCTTCAAACGCCATCGTGTTAGCCACTTAGCTACTGATTCCTGATAGCCACTTGCTTGTGCAGTGAGGTGATGTTTGAATTACCTTGTTATTTTTTTACTTGAATCTTCCTATTGATATTTAGGACTGCAATTGATCGGTACCGGGTTCGAGTCTCAGAGTGACATGGCAACTCTGAGATGCAGGTACATCCAGCTGATGAGTCCCAAATAAAACGAAATGCGCGTCATAAATTCCATTGCTAGCCACTATCCATACTTGCTTAGAATACTTATAACCTAAGGCAATACACACAGTATGCACATATGCCAATAAGAGACTGATCAATTACAGTCCTAAACATCAGCGAGGAAGATTCAAGTCAACTATACAAAGTGAATTCTAATATATGTGTTTTACTGTTTCATTTAAATTCATAAATTGCTTGATCTACTTGTATTCATTTCAGTATCACTGTAGCTGTGTAATATTCTTTAGTGAAATTATTTAGAGCAATTTAGTCCCTTTGATATGTTTCGACAGTGCAATATAGCAGACGAAGTTTATCAGAACTACGTGATGATATTTTAGCGCACTACATCCCGAACAATCTGAACAATCTAAATGAATGTGTGTGTATAGCCATATATACATAGGGAGGAGGAGTAATCGTGATCTCAAAATCAGAGTGTATGGACATGTACCTAAATGCTTGCAGAAACAAATAAAATCAAATGACCGAATAAGAATAGAGGATAAACATTTATCATCCTCTATTGACAAACGCATAATTGAAACAGGTCATAGAATACTTGGATTCATGGCGTAATTACTGAACTGGAACATGAATACAGTGTGATCTTGAATGCTGTTAGAGGTATGAGAACAGTGATCGTTTCCCGGTTGCCCACACTGTGGAAATGTTCTTCTGGGAATACAATAGATAATTGTGTGAATTTTTTAGACCAATAGCTTTTTTAGTATGATATAGAAACTATGATTAAGCCTGGGCAGTGTCTGGCTCTCCTGTTAAACAAGATTGAGGTGTATTGTTTGGGTTGTCACATGAAAGTCTGGATAGTGTCTGGTTCTATTGAAAACCAATGTAAATTATATAACTATAACTATAGAAACTATGATCCAATTAGAAAGTGGTTACCAGTTATTGTGAATGTATGAAAAATAATAATTTCATTATTTCATCTTCTTTTTTTCTTCCATTCAATTCATTTAGCTGGTGGGATGTTAACTATTCATTGGCTGAAGCATGGTATTATGGAAAGAATTTAGGCTGTAGCTTTGTTATGGAAAGCTGTTATGCATACATGATGCGAATGAAACAAGCGTAAGATCGATTGGTTTTATTTCCGTATATTATATTTTTGATCAGTTGTTACTATGTGATCTGTTAGACTTAATAATGGTTATTGAAATAGTTATCTGGTTGCCAATAATCTTTGAATGAATCTTTAACAGAATGTTTCTTATTTTAGAGGAAAAAGTACGGAACCCTACTGTGATGAACCAGATACTTTAAAATGTTATCATCAAAAAGCATTTGGTATTTGTGCTGTTGGACGGTTTACTCAAAGTTTACCACCTAATGAACAATATTTCAAAGATCCTTCTCAAGGAGGGTCTAGTGCATTAACAGATAGATGTCCTATGATCCAGGTTAGTAGTATGTTGAGACTATAAATTATAGACGATATATGAGTGATGCCAAAGTAACCTTGAGAGTGTCTACTTACTTACTAGGGCTAAATGAGAGTTATAAAGCAGTCTGAAGAATAAGGATTATGATTCACAGTTGATGGTAAGGGTAAGGAATTACAATGAAGGTTTTTCATCATGAACTGACATCAGCTAAAATGCCAAGACACTATTTGGCCAAATAGGTGAGTGAATTTCACGTCAAAATCAAACACCCATTAGCCTAAATCTGATTGGATCGTCCATAAATTATAGTCTCGCCAATTTTGTTCCTAAAATATCTATGATACTCTTGTCCATGATCTCTTGTCTAATCTGATTGAAATCATTCATTTAGTCTACATTTTATAAAATATGTAAGGTTTAAAGGAAACCTTTTATATTTAACAAACGGTATAAGAAGAATTTACACTTATTTGAATCTTATTTTCTACACGTTGATGTTTCAGTAGAACTTTTGACTGTTTATACATTAAGTAGTTGAATTCATGAGTCAATTGAAGGTAGACCACCATAGAACCTGGAACCATTGGATGTCCGTTTCGTCCTAGTATGAGACTTTTCGGTAGTGCACACCCACGATCATACCTCACGAGATTCGAACTCAGGACCCATCAATCTCGCGTGCGAGACATTTGTAAATTTTGAATACATTACTTTGTTCTATACATTTGACATAAACTAATCTTTACATGAGGATTGAATATTTCTGAAATGTAAGCATTTTGTAGATATCATTCAAGTACGCTCACTAATGACTATCTCCGATAGGTATTTCCTGGAGTTCTAGTGAGAAGCATTGATCAGTGGAGTTCAACCGGGTCTGTTGTGGGATAGTGACTCACTGAAGACAATGGTGTATGTGTCACTCAATTTCGTGGATTAGTTGAAGTTAGACATTAACGCCATCGGATACCGGCCGACTAATCGTTCGTGCGCGAGATCAATAGGTCGTGAGTTAAAAACTCTTGAGACCGGATCATAGATGCTCATTGCTGAGGAGTCTCACAACAGGATGAGTTGGCTTTCCAGTACTTCCAGGTTTTTCATGGTGGTCTAGCTTCAATTGACTTATGATCTCAACTATTAAATTACTAAAATCTCCACAAAACCCCTACTGATATTATAAAATCTTCAAGTTTAAGCTACATAACCGTAATATTTCTGGAATTACGTTGGCCTATCCATCACCAACTTGTAATAGAATAAAATACCTATCCAGTTTCTTTTTAGTTTTTACTGGTTATCTAATTTGCTTTATCCATAATCTCAATAATAAAATTTTTTTCGGATTATTGTATGGCTTATCGTCAATCACAATGATCAAGTGGAAACAAGCTGATAGTTTATTTTCATCACAAAATAATCTCAGTTGGCATATTAGTGAAAATTAGCAGGTATAAAATAACTGATTCATTCTAGTATGAAACTCCGCAGCATTGTACAATGAGGTTGGAATTGTAACGCTGAACCTCCGCTCAGTAGTTCTAATAGTTCAGTATTCTTCTTAAAGTCCGAAAGTCCTCTTTCCGATTTATGTTGAGTTAGTGTCAGTCTACTCCACTGAAATCCCATACCAAAAAGAGACATCTGAGTAACGTTCCTTGGTCTTTAAGTTGTCTCTAACTGAGAAAAATGTATGACAAATAGAACTCCCTAATTCAACAAACATCCAGTAAATCCCTTCAAAGAAACCAATTCATTAGTTGAATGATAAGATTCATCCTATAAGTGGATCAGATTGCTCTAGTTAATGTTTATTCAAGTGTATATTGGATTGTATTCTGGAACAAACTTTGTGGAATCAATCTATCGAAACACTTTCATACCTTTTTCTTTTGTCCTTTAAAAAAAACAGCCTATGCGATCCTTTTTCAATGAACCAATTGTGACATACTGTGATCATCAGCTTAATATTCCTGTCGGTAAGTAATTAGGTAATTTTCAGATTTTTAATGAAAACCAGTGAGTAATCAATGACTATTCAAATAGATCTAGTTCTAGTTATCGATAGTATTTATCAAAATATATTCAGAATAAAGGATTCATATGACAAAATAGACGTAACATTTCACTGAATATAAAGATTAATTAACTAGTAATTTAACCTGAGTAAAACATCTAAAGAACATTTACATTGACCGTTTCGATTTGTTTATTTAAATACATAGACATTGGTACAAAGGGGCATCGAATAGATATGCGCCACATAAATCATTCGATTTATGTGAGTGCTGGGATACTGTCCGGGTGCCCGAACCGAAGCAGGTGATTTCCTTAGACGGCCACACCCAAAGCCTTTGATGAAAAAACCTGATCCACAAGACAGTGGAGGAACGTAAGGAGATGCAGTCTCATGGTAGTCGGTGACTAATAATTGGTTCATACGCCATGTTTCCTTAGGATCCTGGAGAGCATATGCACTATCTGTTTGGAATCAGGATTTCTCAACTCTCCTAGGTGGACTCTCCGTGTTCATTAACCTGGTTAAAGCGCCATATTTTCGCTTTTCGTCCTCTCAATTTCGTAAAAACACCGGTGGCACTGAGAAGAACTTCCTTGGCAGTGGCTGTATACGTGTAGCTATGTGAGAGCATTTGGCGAAAGAGATTTGGCTCTCCACACTCTCAGCCGTACCACGGCATTTGGGGCTACAATTTCGATATAAGGTTCAATAGTGATAAGTCTTCTAATTGAACATTAGATTCGGTTCTTAAGCTCTTCTAGTAACCCTCAAGCTAAGTCTACACAACGACTTGAACACGTGAGAAAAGATGCGAAATACGAAAGAAACGTTTTATGTACAGAAAAACTAGGGTATTTATAGCATTTTAGATTACCTCGATTTTCCGGAAATTTCTAAAATGTTACTAAACAAATCAGTATAGGTAATCATCCAAACAGAAACGCGACACGTGACTAATCACTTTCTATATGTTACTCGAAAACGTTCTATTGAATGTTGATTGGATAAAATGATTCTTAGTGTTTTCAGGCAGCAGCCGCAGCATCAGTAGGTCTCAATATACACAAAGGGAAAAGCAAGATTCTCCGATACAACACAGCATCCACCAATCCAATCACAATTGACGGAGAAGATTTGGAAGATGTAAACACCTTTACATATTTGGGCAGCATCATTGATGAACATAGTAGATCTGATGCAGATGTGAAGGCACAGCATATTTACAACTTAGAAACACCTGGAACTCAAAGCAACTGTCAACCAACACCAAGGTCAGGATTTTCAATACAAATATCAAGACAGTTCCACTGTATGGGGCAGAAACCTGGATAACTACGAAAGCCATCATCCAGAAAATACAGGTGTTTATTAACTGTTGTCTACGCAAAATACTTCGGATCCGTTGGCCGGACACCATTAGCAACAACCAACTGTGGGAAAGAACAAACCAGATCCCAGCGGAGGAAGAAATCAGGAAGAAGCGCTGGAAGTGGATAGGACACACATTGAGGAAGTCACCCAATCGCTTCATAAGGCAATTCCTCACTTGAAGTTTTCAGGGTCGAAGAAAAAGAGGAAGACCAAAGAACACATTACGCTGGGAAATGGAGATAGACATGAGAAAAACGAACAAGAATTGGACGGAACTAGAAAAGAAGGCCCATTACAGAGTGGGTTGGAGAATGCTTGTCTGCGGCCTATACTCTATTGGGAGTAACAGGCGTAAGTAAGTAAGTTAGTAGTGTTTTCAGAGCCATCTTTTGGGCTTTTTTTACAAGGAATTTTCTGGACACAACTGAAATCTCCATCCATTGTAGTATTTTAACATATTCAAAAGACAAGTTCATCTATAGCATAAATCTTAGAACTTATTACATACATTGCTAATGAATAAATAAGTTTTACAATTTCTATTTTGGTAGCTCAAAGAGGAAATATGTTTGCACAAGATTTTGGAAATAATTCATTATGTATTATGCATAAAGGAGCATGGAGAGCTGAAATGAATGGAAGAGCAACAAATGATCCTCGAGTTAAAGCCACCTGCCATCAGGTAATCTTATGACAAGTATATTATATATTATTACATAACAATCTAAATATTCAAATTTCTTTTCATAATCATATATGTAAGCTTTTTATGAATATATATTAAAGGATAAACAATCTCTATTAGTCATCACATATCAATGATTAGGTCATTTCAAATTAGATTTGTTCGCTGATAGTAACCATGGCAATTATCATTTATACTTTCAAAGAATGATAATAAGATTTAGAACACAACAGTGAATAATATTTAATTAATTTTAATAGTTCAAATCATGATTCAATTGAAACTAGATCACCATGGATAATCTGAAAGCACTGGACGGTATTTCCTGGAGTTCTAGTGTAAAGTACTGATCAGTGGAGATTAGCCGGGTTTGTTGTCAAATAGTAACACACCGGAGACAATGGTGGATGTGTCGCTCAATTTCATGGATTAGTTGAAGTTAAACATTAACACTGTTGGATGCTGGCCGACTCAGTTGTGTAGAGGTTAAACGTTCGCATACGAGACTGATAGGTCCTGAATTGGAATCTTGCTAGGCGGGATCGTGGATGCGCTCTGCTGAGGAATCCCACAATAGGACCACTTGACCGTTCAGTGCTTTCAGATTTTCAATGTTGATCTAACTGCAAATGACTCATAATCTCGACTATTGAAATAAATAGTGTTTCAACATAAACGTCAATGTCAACACTAGATGTAAATTGTTTAACTACTTATATCATTGTGCATTGTTGCTTAGATCGATGTGTTTACTTCCTTATTGATCACTAATATTTCTTCCTGTTTATTCATTTCAGTATTCATGCTCTGGTGGTCTACAAGTGATTATTAATGGTAAACCATTCCCATGTAATTCAGGGGTAGCTACAGTTCAAACTAATCAAATTCAAGGCCAAATTGTCTGCCCTGATCCTAATACTGTTTGTAGGGTAAATCAGTAGAACTATATTAATATTTGATTCTATTTTTTCATTTATATTTCATTATTAGACTAATGCATCATGAATAGTAACCTTAGAACTATTTTTTATATTATGGGACTCCTAAGAAGTGCGCATCCACGATCCTGACTCGTGAGATTCAAACCTGAGACCTACCAGTCTTGCGCGCAATCATTTAACCTTTAGACCACTGAGCTGGTATCCAACCGTGTTAATGTGGATGCACAACACTGAGAAGTCCCAATATACAATGAATCAGCCAGCCAGTGCTTCTATGTTTTCAGTATTGGTCCAGCTTCAATTGGATCATGATCTCAACTACTGAAATTACTATAATATCCACAAGAAACCCCTACTGACATTTTTTATGTGTTCAGAAGTCTCTAATGTCATAAGTCCTTAAATTCATCAAAAACCTGTGCGATCTGATTGTTCACTTAAGTTAACCGTTCAATTAATCAACTAACAGGGGATAGAATTGTCATGAAAACAGCCTTTTAAACGTTGTATAGAAATGGTTAGGAATGATTTCTTAAGTTTATTGAAGGCTTGGTTATTTGCAAATTTACCCCTCCCCTTATATGTACGAAAACAATTTATGATAACCTTGAATTCAACTTGATAATCCTTAAGTCATTTTATGGCCTAGGATAATGAGATAATTTCTGATTCTTACTATACGGTGTAATTTTTCTCTCTCACCTTTATCTCCTTGTTTACATGAACTTTCATTTAAATGATCCGTATTAATCTTTTTATAAAATGCCCTGAAAAGTATGTCTATCTATAACAGAGCGTTTTTAACGAGTTAGTTTTCTGCGGGATGAGATCACTAACCCTGTGCTCAACCCTTCTCCTTAATCCGGGATTGGGACAGGCAGTAGCCATAGAGGGGCTCCAGGAGGAGTTACTATGACAGCGTACTTACTAACAATTCAAAATCTGTATGAGGTTATGAAGATTGTTAAGCTTTTGATTAAGACCATGAATCGATTGATGCTAAATCACCATTGAAAACCTGTAAGCACTGGACAGCCCTTTCGTCCTATTGTGGGATACCTCAGCAGTGCGCATCCATGGTCCCGCTTCGCGAGATTCGAACCCTGGACATTTGGTCTCGTGTGCGAACGCTTATTATCTCACATTCATTACTACAAAGTCACATCTTATATTAGATAGCATTGCATCATATTACATGTATCTATAATAAAGTGTATTTATGAGTAATTTACGCAAGATACTAATTTAATCCATTCATTTATATTTAATATAACAATTCAGATTCAGAAATTGTCTCGAGAGGCGGGATTGTGGATGCATACTGTTGAGAAGTCCCACAATAGGACGAAACGGCCATTCAGTGCTTCTATGTTTTCAATAGTGGTCTAGCTTCAATTGACTCAAAATGTTAATAACAACAACAATTATTTTTACTATTTCACAATTAGTCTTAGAAGTCAAAACATTAAAACTACAGACATTTTAACGTTATTTATTCATTAATTGTATTTCATCATTCTCTTCTTTGTTATTTCTTTTACAGAATAGGCGTAGATCAATCAAGCAATGAACAATACACTTTTTGTCACCATAAACCAACATTAACTATGGGTTTCTTTTTTAATCTATCTCTCTTATTAAATATGAAGTTCCTTTATTGTGTTTCTTTTATTATTGTTATTGTTGACTGATTGTTTGAACAGCATGTATCAGTATGGAGTAGTGAATAAATGTTAATTACTATCAATGGTGTTTTGATGATTTCAATGGTCATATTTAGTAAATACTTCATATGAAAATGTTATAGAGACCGTTTTTTGTTTAAATTCAAGTACACCTAAAGCATTATGGCTTTAAGAGTGAAGGATGTTATTGTGGTATAAGTTACTTATATTCACATCAGTAGTATATAACGATAGTCAGGAATATAATGTATTTCAGTAGAAGATTGAGAAGGAAAGAATAGGACCAGAAAGCAATTAGTATGAAATCTCACACGATGGACTGATATTTGCAAAAGGAACAGTCAAGTTTGAGACAATGGATTGATATTTTGTAGATGAAGTATTAACTGTATGGTTCTCAGATTTTAGCAAGGTGTTCTGTAATTTTGTGTATGAATACATTCGATTACCCTCATACGTGTTCTTGTTCACTATAGTATGTCAGTTAAATTGATTAGGTTGAAACTTGGCAATTACATGTATAGGTCCTGGGTTCGAATCCCGCGAGGTGGGATCGTGGATGCACACTGCTGAGGAGTTCCACAATGGGACTAGTTGGCTATCCAGTGCTTCCAGGTCTTCAATGGTTGTCTAACATCAATCAATTCAAGACCTCAATCAAGAAATAAGAAGCGGAAACTTGTTGAAACAATTTATGCTAAGAATACTATTTTGTACAATCAATGATCATAATAGTAATAATAATAACCGCTATATTTCTAACCCTTTACATTGTATGACCGATATCTTCAGTTAAACTTTGTTGGACAATCGTTAGTATAGAGTTATCACACTAACATTATGACTTTAATGTAAGGGATGATGTGAAACAACACTTTTCAAACGGGAATATTTCCTTTAAGGGTGTGACATTTATGTTAAAACGTCCTACTCCCCACCATCCACCTGTACCCTTTTCCCAACAATCTAAAACGCCATATCACTCGACCAATGAAGTACTCATGATCGGATCCATATAAGTAATGTATTTAGTTCAGCAATATTAGTTTTAGTCAGCGTTGTTTTCAGCCATGTCTTTCCTAAATAGTAAAGCTGATATAATTTTAAGATAGTTGTTTCTTGATGTAGGATTTTCGATGAAAGCGCAACTCTTGAGACAACTGAGAGCTTATGAGGAGTTGATTTGTTGCCGTTCCATGGTAAGAGTCAGTCAATGAAATACACATGATTTTTACATAGAATAAGTAGGTATAAGAAAAGGTAAACCCTAGCAACCAACAACCGCTCAAGCGAAATAAAAGACTGTTTCAAAATAAGTTCTTTATTCATTGGTCTATTAGTTGTGAATTCTTTTGTTCTCATTGAATTTGTGTATGAAAATTTTGGAAGCAGAATGATCGATATGCTACAACGTCAAAATTAAATTTTCCCCCATATATTTAAACCAATCAGATCATACATACAATTGGTTCGTCATCAAATCGATAGTTATTGTACGGTAGAAAAGTGTATCCCTGAACTAGTCACACATGTATTTCAATAAAACTTAGATTAATCACTATTTCTGTAATATTTACAGTCATAGAATCAAAATGTATTATTAGGGATGCAGAAAAATGACCATCGTCAGCCTAAAATTATTCTGAAAACGTTACACTACTTATTAAAATATAAGTAGCTTGAAGGTTTGCCAAGTTTTAGATGTCAATATAGCTACAGATAATCAATCAAGCGATCGTGATTAGAAGAGAACAAACAAAAAGAAAACCAGAACAATTTAGCCGAGTGAAGTGGAACTCATACAAGACAGGGAAATGATTTTAATAGATTCGATAATCGTATACACAATATTTTGAATACTAATGATTACAAGATAGAATTTAGTGAATTAGTATAACTTACAGGCAAATAATTAGGGTTTTTAGGTGGAACTAAACGACCTAATAAGAGTAGAGGATAAACATCTATCATCCTCTGTTGATAAACATATAATTGAGACACGTCATAAGATTGATCTTAACTTGGCTTTTGTGGTGTTGTACAAAAGTGTAAGAGGGCGTATACTAAGGTTTATAGAAGCCTTAGCCATATGAAAATCCAAACTCCCTTTATGCAATCAAAAACAGTTTGTTCTCAAATTAAACCTACCCTGGTAATATTAACTAATTGTCCAAACTGTTTTCACATTACTTCTTTATCATCCTTGTCTCCTCTTACCCTCCATTTCTAGTCTAGACTAGTTCTTACCAAGTATAGAATGTGTAATCAGATTGTTCGAAAAATACTGCATTAATATATCATCATATAGTTCTGATAATCTTTGTCTTCTTATTACATTATACGAAATTTATCAAAGGGAAGAATTGCTTTAGATTTTGGGTAGAATTGTTTCGATTTTTGAGTACAGTTCAAAATCCCTCCACGATAGTTCGCTCATATATTTTATAATTATTATTTGACTTAAACAAGATTGAACATCATATTCAAACTGTTGTGCACATTTTGGCTTGCAGCGTCAAGTATAAACCATGAATATTTGCTTACACTGTATCTGAATAAGAATTCTATGATTTTTAAAGAAGTAATGAGTGATATGATCCCACTATGGAATACTTTAGTTTAGAATAGTTGTTTTCCTTCCGAAAATATCATGATTATAGTTATTTATTTGTAAATCAGTAATGTCAATTCGTATGAAGGTTTTAGTTAGATGAGCTTGTGTACTTTCAAAGGATAACATTATAAACACTCAATCTAACTCCTCCTGGAGCACCTCTGAGGCTACTGCCGGTCCCAAGCCCGGATAAAGGAGGAGTTTTGAGCATTGGGTTAGCGACCCCATCCCATAGAAAACTAACTCGCTAAAAAACAAGAGCAAGAGCAGTATACTTACAACTGGAGAACATCTGAAACTAAAAAAACTGTCGATCAACACCAAAGTCAGAATTCTCAACACAAATCTTTATTAATAGTGTTAATTAACAGTTGTCTACGCAAAATACTTCGAACCTATTGGCCAGACACTATCAGCAACAACCAACTGTGGGAGAAAACAAACCACATTCCAGCGGAAGAATAAATAAGGAAGAATCACTGGAAGTGGATAGGACACACATTGAGGAAATCACCCAACTACGTCATAAGTCAAGCCCTAACTTGGAATCCTCATAACCAAAGGAGGCTGTGAAGACCAAAGAAACATTACATCGAGAAATGTGAAGATTGAACAACAATTGGATAGAAGTAGAAAGGAAGGACGAGGACCGAGTGAGTTGGAGAATGCTCGTTGGCGGTCTATGCTCA